GTGACATTGTTTTAGTTCCATTGCCATGAATGATAAATGACATTTCTTTCAAAATTCAGTATCTGCAAAAGCAAAGACCTGATGCAGATATCATTGTGTGGAAATGCCACAACACTGAAGTATTTGTAGTGGCTTAAAGCCCTGTAACAACAACAATATATTTCTGGGTTCCTGCCAGTTGTTATGGATTTAACCTTGCATTATCAATTACCTGGTTTTTCATGGACTGATTTTATTATAAAAGGAAACTCATCCGTGGACAAACTGTTTTGGAGGATGCCTAAAATATTAATCTTATCTATTTATTACCAATAATACAATCCTATATTCACTGTCTAATACACAATTAACAGAATAAAATTTTAAAAAGTTGAATTTCAAAAAGTGTTTGCTAAGAAATTTGACAACAACTTTCACCCACCAGTTAGAGATTTACCCGTTTTTATGACATGAATGTGCCACCTTTGTTCAGTGTCACATGGGACCAAAAAGTCTCCTTTGCCTGCTTTCAGAACTCTTTTAGACGCAAAAAATTGAGCAGACTGTTTCCTGTACAAGACAACCAATGAGAAAATAATAATTACACACACACACAAACAAACAAACAAAAAAAAAAAAAAAAAAAAAAAAAAAAAAAAAAAGGGAAAAAAACACCCCCCAAAAAAAAAAAAAAAAAAAAAAAAAAAAAAAAAAAAAAAAAAAAAAAAAAAAAAAAAAAAAAAAAAAAAAAAAAGGGGAAAAAAAACCCCCCCAAAAAAACCAACAAAGAAACCACAGGGAGAAGAGGCCGAAAATCTTAAATTCCTTATACCTTTTTGTCACTAGGTCAGGATTTGCCTCTTAGTGGAACACTCACTAAGACCTGTTCAGAGAGTGCTTTAATTCCAGCTTCCTTGCCTCTGGCATATAATTACATCAAAGTAATTCTAAACTTACAACCAAATGTAAGTAGACACGATGAAACAGTGTTACCCCCAACCATTATTTTATTTTCCCCCATAGAAACAAATAAACTTTCTTCCCTGTCTGAAAAAGTTTTGGAATAATATAGAAATATTTACTAAAAAAAAAAAAAAAAATCCCAGATTTCATAGTAAACAAGAAATGTAATCTAGATAATTACAAACTAAGGTACAGTATGCATTAGATTTTGCATATTAACACTTATTTGTATTGGGCTAAAAGTCTAATGATCTCATTTTACTTTTTAAGTAGTGAGGCCTTCTGCCTTGCTATGGGTGAGATACCATTGATGCACTCCCTCTCAAGATCCAGGAGACATTTTCAGCCTTCTGTCAAGTCCTTCATTATTTTTATCTATTAGCTATAAAAACATTCTTGTATAATATAATTAATTAGTCCCCACATTCTTCCTGTTTCTTTGATTTCCCAGCTCTAAGCCAGCCTCAAAATCTAAAAACTGAAATATTCAAATTCCAAGACTAAACCAAAAATGTGCTAAATGTGTACAATTTTTTAAAAGTGATGAAACAGCAACAACACTCAAACAAACAAAGAAAATCCTCCTAATGCTTGAAACACACATGCAGGGCTTTCCAGATTCTGGTGCTGAAAGCAAAATTGTTCATAATTTTCCAGATTGCAAAGTAAAGCAGTAAGTTTTCTCCTTTAGGAAGTATATTTTAAAAAAATTAAATATTTTTTGCAAAAAAAGTCACACCAAATATACAACATATATATTCACACACATATTAAATATATTATATATATATATAATTCTCCACTGACAGATCTTTGTTTTCCTAAATTTCTTATTTCTAATTGAATAACTTTCTTCTCTAGTGTCTGAAACACTCTTGTGCTGATGTTCCAGAAACACCCATGCAGCCATTTAAAATAAATCCTTAGTGCAGCACAATCATCCTCGACAGAGCCACATGAAAATAAAACTTGATTTCTCTCTGTGAGAAGACACAATGTGTCACTAGAAATCCTGCTATGCCATGCTGCTCTTTAATAATTTATTGGAGGCTCTGGGCCCTGGCTAAGCTGACAAATTTAATATGGAAGTGCTGTTCAAGTGTTGAATAAACATGAGCTAAACTATTTTTCCAAACAAACAAAACTGCTGCAAAAGAGTGCCACGGGGCAGATTAGGTTCTTTTCACTAATTTTTTGACAGCAGCACTATTTTTGGTGCTAGTTTCTTTAGTAAATTAGATAAAATACTATTTAAAATATGCCTACATTTACCAAATCACCCCTAGATTTCTTTTGTTCTACAGCTCCTCATTTAACCTGCAGAGGTGGATGAAACACTGGACTAATGGATCATCAAATTTCAGACTGCTGGAACTTGTGACAAGCAAAATCTAAAAGCAGAAGTTAGGAAAAAAAAAAAAAAAAGACCACCATATCTAATTTTTTACACCTTTTGTCATCTCAGTGTGTATCTCTCTTTCCAGGCTTTTAGATTACGAGGAAAACCAGTGTTTGGGTTTTTTGATAATGCTTTGAATGATCTTTCAGTGATCATTCACTCTCACAATCTATTTATCTTTTAGCCACTCATTGATATAAACATAACTCAAAGTATTGCTGCTTAGTTTCCTTAAAAAAACTTTGGTAAAGCTTTGATGAGGGAGTTTTTGAAATCCAAGCTGGCAGACTGTTCCTTTCTGTGTATTTCCAGATGTGTGAGACTGGGTATTCCTTTATCAGAGCCATGTTGGCTCTTACCAAGAATATAATACTCAAGTACCCACTTAAAATATTAATTATTGGAGTTTCTCTTATGTTATTAAGGCTTGCAGACCTCCCCTTCAGATCTCTGCCAGAATTCCTGGTGTCTTAGGTTGGAAATGGATGAGGATCCCTGCTCCAGCAGAAGCACAGCTGGCACTGCAGGAGGGCTGAGCCCCCATGGGATGGGACTGTGCCACCACCCTGACCCACAGGGCTCAGCTCCTGCTCTCACTCTGGAAGCGTTGTTTTGTATCACTGAATTTTCAAAAAATGTATTTTCTTCCCTAATAAAGAACTGTTATTCCTGCTCCCATGTCTTTGCCCGAGAACCCCTTAATTTCAAAATTGCAATAATTCAGAGGGAGAAGGTTTACATTTTCCATTTCAGGGGAGGCTCCTGCCTTCCTCAGCAGACACCTGGCTTTGCAAACCAAGACACCTTGTTAAAAATTTGGATGTTTAGCACTTCCCAGTCCCCTGCAGCCCTTGTAGCAAGCAGTACAAAACACCTGCTTGCGGTGTGCCAGCTCATTCCCCTGCTCCTCCAGAAAGATGGGATAAGTACTACCTATTCCTGAAAATTTCCTGCTTATTTTCTCTCTTCATGGACTCTTTCACCTCCACCTTAAACACAAGACAATGCAAAGAAAGGCTGGGAATGGGAACCTCTTCACTGCCTTCTGTGATAAACACAAATGCAAAGAGTTCCTCTAGATTTTTTTTTTTTTTTATTATGGTCTTTTATCTCCTAAATACTAATTTAGAGAATTCCTCTAGATTTTTTTTTTTTAATGGTCTTTTATCTCCTAATTTAATGCTGGAATCAGACTCCCTCCTCTGGCACCTACTTTTGGTAAGTCTGAAGAAATATTTCTCATTTCTGTTTGTAAAAATGCAATTACATGGCCAACACTGCAGCTCCTCATTGGCTCACCTGTTACAAAAGACACTCTGGAAAAAAGCAGTTTAATACAAAATACTGTCATGATATAAGGCTCCCAAATATACACAGCATAAAAATCCCAAAGATAAACATTTGGCTTTTTTTTTTTTTTTTCTGAATACTTTTATTTCCCATCTGCTCAATGAATGTGATGCACAGATCTGCAGTCACAGCTTAGAGACAACTCCAGGGAAATGTTACTTAAAAAGGCCCCTGAGAATATCCTGTGCATTCTTTGGATAAATATGAACCAAAGTGTGTGGATTTTCAAGCATAAATAGCTCCTGAAGTGACAGGGAATGTAAGAATTTCACTTGGAAGCAAAGGCACAGAATGGAAAAAGTAGCTTTTTTTTATTATTTATCTTTTTTTTTTTTTTTCTGTTTTTATGTATCAGACTTGAACCACAGAGATTATGTGGATGGGTTCTTTGAAAAATGAGATCTTGGAGGTGACAGCAGTACTAGCAAGGAGTTTTAATGAAATTAGTACTTTTATACTGAAATGAAAATGTTCATGCAGGAAATACAACTAACATTTTAACAATATTAACAAAATAACACTTCCAATTAATTCTGCTGCTTTGAAATTTTTCAGAACGTTTCCATTCATGAGTTAAAGGCAGAATCAGAAGGATCCATCCTAAGTAGAACACAGTGGGGCAGACATGAAATTTCAGGGGGATGGAAACACCAGAACCTCTTAGAAACAGAAATACCACAGCCTACCACTCGTAAAACAGCAACATTGCACTATTGATTTAATAGCAATAATTAATGCTGAAAGTTGTCTCAGCTGGTAGAAACGCTGTTCTTGAGCACAATTCTCTGCTGATGGAGTGGAATAGAAACACAATATCGGTAAAAAAAATAGCAATAACATTTTTTTTTATTATACTAACGGGGATGATTTTTAAAGGCTGTTAGAACGGGAACAGTAGTGGGCGAGTTTGGGGTTTTTTCACAGTCTTAAGCCGTGCCAGGGGAGGTTTAGGTTGGACATCAGGAGGAATTTCTTCCCACAAAGGGTTGGTCACACACTGGAAGGGGCTGCCCAGGGAGGCGGTGGAGCCGCCGTGCCTGGAGGTTCTTGAGGGAAGATTGAAGTGCCATGGGCTGTCCCCACGGTGGTGGTCGTTGATAGGTTGGATTCAGTGACCTCAGAGCTTTTTCCCAACCTAAAAAATTCCGTCATTCCGCGATTTTGTGATTCTGGGAGTCCAGCACTGGCCCCGGCCCTCAGTTCTGGCCCCGCCCCTCAGCACAGACCCCGCCCCTCAGCAATAGCCACGCCCCTCAGCAATAGCCACGCCCCCTCTCCGCCCCCCGCAGCAACGCCTCGCTTCTCCCGCCCCGCCCCCGTCGCTAGGGGGCGTTCCCCTCCCGTCACGCGCCAGGTCGCTCAGTCGAGCCACGCTCCCGCATCGCTCCGCCGTGTCCCGGCGCTGCGCTCGGCGCTCGGTTGCTCGGGCCTGCGGGAGAGGCGTGAGGGCGATGCTCGGGGCCGCGGCCGCCTGAGGGCCGGCTCCGCTCGGGTCCCGGCGCGGTGGTGCCGGTGCGGCCGCCATGGGGCTGGGCTCCAGCTCCGAGGGCCCCGGCGGCGGCGCCGAGGGCTTCCACGTGCACGGGGTGAGGCGGCCGCGGGGAGACGCAGGGAGGGAGGTCGGGAGGGCCGCGAGGGGCGGCGGGCGCCGGGGCGGCTCCGGCGGGGTCGCGCTGCCGTTCCCCGCCCGTGCTGGCCGGGTGGGCCCGGCTCGCAGCTGGCGGCTCTTCCCGGAGCTGCCACGCCGGCAGGGGCGGGGCGGGGCGGCCGCGCCGCTCCCGGTACCTGCGGGTGCCCGACCCGGCGAGCTCGGGGCCGCGACCTGGCGGGACTTGGGTGCCGAAGAGCCTGGGGGAGCCCGTGCGGCTGCTCTCGGGGAGCTTCAAGTAGTTCGAGAGTAGAACAGCGCTTCTTCCTTCCCTGTTCCCCTCCTTTTCTCCCGGCTCCCCTCCATCTCTCCTCTCTGCTCTTCTCTTCTCTCTCCCTATTCGCCTCTTCCCTCCTTTCCCTGCTCCCTTCCCTGTGGATCTCCACACACCCTGTTAGGGCGTTAATTCCCCCTCCAGAGGTGTTTCCCCCGTGGCTGCCTCTCCCAGATGCAAGTCTGCTGTAACTCTCTCTTTAGCAGGTTGTCTGCACGTACAGTGGTGTAAATGCATATCTGAAAGTTTAAGAATGGGCAGACAGCAGCTGTTTGCATGAGTTATCGTTTCTTTTAGTGGTATTTTCCCTCCCTGGAATAAGAATGGGAGCGTTGCTGCCACGTGCTGTTTCCACTTCATCTGCATTCTGTGTTTCTCAGCATCAGTGTAAGCTGCCTGTTTGCTTTTGATGCAGTTCAGGGCTGTGATCAAAGTTAATGCTTTGATTCCAGCTGTGGTTACAGTGCTCAGTCTTGACTGCTTAAAAATAAAGCATGATTTTTGTTCTTATTTTTTGCTTTAGAAGCTTTTACTGAAGTAACTATGCTATTAAATATATTTTATAACTTTTATAGACAGTTCTGCCAGCGAAAGCCTCAATACCAGTACAACTTTATCTATTAAAAAATAGAGTAAAAAGTAAAAATATGTGTCTAGCATTTTGGTAACACCAGACCAAATATAAGACGTAGCAGTTTTAACTTTCCTAGCAATGAACTTCCCAGTTTAGATGATGCCTGGGTTTTAATTTTGTGCTTAAATTGTGAGGTGGCCCTCAGGAGTCAGATATATCTCAGGTTAAGGGCTGCTGAGGTAACAAAAAGTGAAGTCAAGAGCAAACTCAGTAGGTTTGCAGTGATTCCTTAACACCATCTTGCTTTGTCAGTGCACCTTGAAGTGGGTGGATTTAATGTAATTTCAAACTTGGTGGGGTTTTTCCTGGTATGAATGTGTTTTATGAGTATTCTCTCTAGTGATGGCATCTCTTCTATGACAGCTTTGGTTCTAATGAAACTGAGATGTCCTAACTCTTCTTAGGAATCTTTTGTAAGTGGTGGCAGTTTTCTTGACCACAACTTGTGGGCAGGTGTGTGCTTGTGTAAATATTCCTGTTCCAATGGGCTGGAAATGTGGGAACCCAGCTGTCACTTGTGTTCATGGAAAAATGGCTCTGGTGCCAGTGGAGACTCTCACTGTGCTCAGGTTGTTAGAACCATAGGAGAAAATCCTGCAGCAGCACGTTGAAAACCAAGCCTTTCTCCAAAGTGTTCAGTATTTAATAATTGCAGGCTGTGCACTCTGAATCGCAACATTTGTGTCTTGTATGGGGTTCAAAACCTGCTTTTTACAGCTTGATTTGGATATCTGTTCATAGTTACATAAAAGTAAGAGCCTGATTATGCACTGCTGCTTGAGAGTGGTCATTTGGTGCCTTATCTCTGGCTCACCTCAAAAGTAAATATTGAATCAAGTGTAAAGATTAACACTTTCACTTATGTAACTGGAGGTCAGTGTAGAATAACAATAAAATCTGTGTTCTGCAGGTTCAGGAGAACTCCCCAGCCCAACAAGGAGGACTGGAGCCTTTCTTTGATTTCATCATTGCCATAGGACACACGAGGCTTGTAAGTCTCAGATGATTTCAGTTGTTTTCCACCCTACATGAACTGTGGGCACTGTAGTCATGATGAAAAGCAAAACCATAAACTGTCACAAGCAGAGAAACTTTTCACATTGGACATTAAAAGTAAAGTAAAACTTGCAGGGGTTCAGTCTCTTTGGCTAGATCCAAGTTTGAAGGAAAGGTTTTGTTTATGCCTTTACCTTAACTTCTTAGCAGGTTAACACAATGTTTTTGTTATTGCTCATTTGTAATGTTTTCTACCACAAGGTGAATGCTGAACTGGTGAGTCAGTAGTCAGAGCTCAACATTTGTTTAAACAAACTTGTTTCAACATTTGATAAAACGTGGAAAAGAATCATTGTGTCTGCTTATACTTCTGAGGCCAAGAACACAGTTCCTGTGTGTTATGAGAGAAGAGCTGAGTTTTGGTTTGATGGGGTTTTTTTGGGTTTTGATTGGGGTTTTGTTAGTTTACTTAAAAGGCTCAGAGCTTTGCCTTGTATGCTCCACTCTAACCACATTCAAGCTGAAATAATGAAGTTTGTCTTTTGTTTTATGAGAGGAGATGTCTTTTTTGGAAGTGATCATTATAAGGGCAGGTTTTGGGGGTAGACCATTTAATCTTCTGATGTGACAAAAATGAAGCTATTCTTTCCCAGTCAGTGTGCAGTGACTTTGAAGGGCTGCTGAAGAGGGATGGGGCTCAGAGACACGAAGTGAAATGTTGCTGCTCTGTGTAGATTACAGTTGGCATCTGATACTGCTGGTATTATTAATAGCAGCTGTGAAGGACAGGAATGCCAGTGATGAAATGGCCTAACAGGAAGTATTTATGTAAAGGGATGTGTGTTGACAGTACTGACTGCCTTCTAGTAAAAGAAAATTGAATTGGATATTGCTGGGATTGTTTGTGAGCCACAGAGCCTAAACTTTGATAGTTTTGGTTCTTTGTATTCAAATTCTGCCACAGATGTTACAGGTGCAACTGGAAATAATGTTAATCTTGCATCTGCTTTACAGAACAAGGAAAACAATATGTTGAAAGACCTGCTGAAGGCAAATGCTGAGAAAGCAGTGAAGCTGGAGGTGTACAACATCAAAACAATGAAAATCCGAGAGGTGGAGGTGATCCCCAGTAACATGTGGGGAGGACAAGGCCTCCTTGGAGCCAGCGTGAGGTTCTGCAGCTTCCAGGGAGCCAATGAGCACGTCTGGCACGTTCTGGTGAGCAGCAGCTCTGGCTGGCTCGTTACTGTCTGTGTAGCCTTGTTTTACTGTGTGATGTTTAGCAGAAATGTGAAGTACAGTGATGCAGCCACACAGAGGAAGGGAACACAGTCCTGAAGGTTTGTCTGAGCTATCTGAGTAGGGACAAGGAGTGGGTGGCTGTCAGGGCTCCCAGTGACAAAAATAACTCCATCCCAACCAGACCAAACAGTATAGCTGGGAAGGGTTTTTTTCCTTTTATGCTGAAGAATCAATGGCAAAAGTAAAAGGATTCTGGCCTGACTGCTGTCTCTCTAAAGCTGGCTAAACTTCACTGAAGTAATATTAATGTTACAAAAAGCGCCACAAATTTATTTTAAAATTAAGAGGAAGAGATGAAAGAGTAGAACTGAACAGAAAATAATGTTTATCTTTCTGGTTGTTTAAGCAAATGCAATTTCTCAGCATCTTCAGAAGATGTAATTTTAAATTGGTAAGATTTTCTTACTCATTACATTCTACATCTTTCTTACCCAGCATGTTTTACAGGATGGCACAGGTAGATGTAGACTATTCGAGAACTGATTTTTTATCCCATTAACAAATTGTTCTTTCCTTCCTTGCTCTGGGAGTTAGTTCTTTTTGATCCTGGGAGTTTATCCTGCTGGGGGTGCAGATGACTCGTGTCATTCTTTCACAGGACGTGGAGCCTTCCTCTCCTGCGGCTCTGGCTGGGCTGCAGCCGTACACTGACTACGTTGTGGGATCTGATCAGATTCTGCAGGAGGTAGGGTGCACGTTCCTTCCAGCAGGCACCGATTGTCTTTGTGCCTGCCAAGTGTTTATTGTAGGATTTGGGTTTTGTATAAATCTCATCAAGCACATGGCGGGTGGCATTGAGGGATTTTGGAGGGTTGATGTTTATGACAGAAGCTTTATTGTTGAGGTAAACATCTTTCTTTTAATCTGACAATAAAAGAAATTTGCCACTAAAGATCAAACTACATTGGTGATTTTTCTCTCTCTGGGTCTTTAATATCTCACACCAAGTAAATAACTATGTAAAATGTTGACTTGCACATATGGATTTATTAACTACTACCTTCTATCTTTTTTTTTCCTAGTCAGAGGATTTCTTTTCCCTGATTGAATCCCACGAGGGGAAGCCGCTGAAGCTGATGGTTTATAACACTGAGGCAGATTCCATCCGAGAGGTAGTTGTGACTCCCAATGGAGCTTGGGGTGGAGAAGGAAGGTACTGATCTCTCTTGATGACAGGTTTTATACTTGCTGTAAATGAGCTCCTGTTAGGAGTATTACTGCTATCAGTTATTGGTGTTTCCAAGTTAAGCCTTGTTTCCTCACACTTGTCACCCAAAACTGTTAATCTTTATGTTAAAAAAAATCAGCTTAGAATTAAGAACTGGGCACATTCAGAATCTAATCCTGCTCAATTTGAATCAAATGGCAGAGCTCCTGTCTTGAGTTCCCCATTAGCAGGTTCATTATCTGCATTCTCATAGTCAAAACATTCAGCTAAAGCAAGAACAAAATTTACATCAGGTCAGATTAAATATTTTGTAAAGATATAAAATAATTCACTGAAAGCTAAGCTGTCAGCATTTCTCAAAGTTGATTGCAGAGTGTTCCTTGAGTACTCTTAATTCTTGCAGGTAGGTATTTCCTGGTATAGATAGAAGACACAAACTATTCTTGTTTTAAAAAGTCAAAATTTAAAATACTAGCTTTGTTAAGAGCATCTTTTTTGTGTCTTGATTTTTTTTCTCATGTACAGTTTAGGATGTGGTATTGGATATGGTTATTTGCACAGAATTCCAACACAGTCCATGACATCAAAGAAAAAGCCAGAAAACAAATCACCTTCACCCTCACCAGAGGCTGGAACTCCTCTGCCATCCACTAATGGTTACACAGAGGTAGGAAAAAAATAGATTCCAATCTCTGCCACATTCTCTGGAGTTTCAAAATTTTCTGCTGTTTGGGACAGTGGTAATACAGAATGTTTGAGACCAGTATTCGATTTTTCTGAATGAAATGGAGCTGGGTGAAGGGAAGGGGAGAGCTGATGCTGCTGAGCAGGTGCAATATCACCAGTGTCAGCTGATAGAAATTCTTGCCAGGTATTTTTTCCCTGCTTTCAAGTCTTGCATCGTACAGCTGTGCCAGTCAATGAGGATCATGTTGGAACACCTACTTCACTAGGAGAAAGATACACCTCCAAGAACCAAGTTCAGAGAACAGACTGGCTTTAAAAGGCTGAGCTGGAATATGTCCTAAGTGGTGTTTGTCTTTCAGTTTCAGCATCACAGCTTCTCTCTGAACTGGTGCATGTGGAGACAGGCAGCATGCTGTCATGGGAGGTTTGGCTACAGGTAAAGCTTTTGATGTAAAACAATGTTTTTACTTCTTGCTGTCTTATTCCAGACTCCATTGTTGGCACCTACATCTCAGAATGACAGCTCTGAAACAGTTATGAACTTGGATCATTCCACAGAGCAGGAAATGAGTGGTTACTCACCAGAAAGTTCCCTTTCTCCTCCTCCCCCTCTCCAGAGAGTTATGGATCCAGGTATGTTTTCTTGGGTGCTTTTTTTCACCAATTCTTTAGAGTACATCTAAATAAACTAATATGGTTTAAACAAGCTAGAGGCTTAAATTCAGAACTGTGAGCACTGGTGGTGCTTTCCCTTGAGGGTTTTTACTTTCCTGGATTTCAGAGCTGTAGAATTTGGGTACCAGGGAAGTTAAATTCATTTGCATTTAGTAGGAAGGGGGTTTCACTGACTTCAGTCTGGATAGGACATGTCTTTTTCAATCTAGAATTTTGTGTTGCATCTAACTAATACTTGCTTTCTCCTTCAGGATTTCTGGATATGTCTGGAATTTCAGTTTCTGAGTTCACAAGCTTAACAGAAACGTCCAGCCTGCCCCCATCTGCCTCCTTCAACGTGCCAGCAGCAGGGGCTTCTGTAGGCTCTGAAACAATGCCAAATAGTGAAGCCTCTGCTTATTTTGGTAAGTGCAGTCAAGATTTCCTTTGGGTCTTATTTCTGGAATGGCACCAACTCACGTTCACTTAACATCATCACAGTTTTTAGAAATAGGCAAATTTTAATACAAAGCAGCAAGAATGGCAAAAATGGGATGGAAAAAGTAGCAGAAATCAGGTTTAGAAATGGAAAAATCTAATGTTCTTTTCCTTAAGTTTATAGCATGTAGGTCTCTTTCTTGAAATGAAAATGCTGAGGCACTGTCTGTTAGCCTGATATGTTCTGTTTTTTTTACAAACTCTCTCAATTTCCCAGAAAATGCCTCAGCTTTGGACCCTGACGGTTTAACCCCGTATCATGAAGGATCAGGCAAGCAGCCCACACTGGATGACCTCCTGCCTTCAATTCCATCTTTACCTTCTCTTGATCTTCCTCATGACATTTCTTCAAAACCAACACTAGGAACTGATGCTGATAACCAGGAGTCCAAGCTGCTTGTGAACAGCATTGAGAGCTCATTAACCACTGCTCCAGAGACACCAGAGCACAAAGCAGCAAGTGAGCAGAAAGGAGAAGCAGCTGCACAAGATCCTGAGTGAAATGGACCCTGCTGCTGTTTACAGACTGCTGAATGCTGCAGTGCTACAGCTTGGAATATTTTTCTGATCTTGAAAGAATTACAGTTACTCTATTTTGTTAGTGTAGACAATACTAGAAAAGAAATCACATGAAGTACATATCCTGTTGTCTTTTCCAATCACTGTTTAATGGATTGATCTATGCTCAGAATTTGAATGCTGTCCAAAATCACCCAATCAATAGAGAAATTGATGCAGAAACAAGTTGGACACTGGCAGAAAGTCAAGTTCTGGAATTCACATTTGCCTAGAAGTGCTCCTGAATGTATTTACAAAGGCACTGTGCCTGAACAGTGAGACTTAGTGATGACTTTTATCAATATGTTTGATGGCATTAAAAAAATATTTATAGTTTTAAATTGTTAGAAAGCTTTTCTAATGGTACATCTTGGTTAGACTGTTCTTGTGACTTGCAAGGCATTTCTTACACTAAGATACTTTTACTTACTGCTCTAGTACTCTTACTAGACTCTTATTTTTCTTGGTTTAATTCCCTTCTCTGCAACAGTCCTTTATGTACATTCTTTATCCCTACTTGGGCAGGAGAGAAATACAATGGGGTTTGAAATTGCAGCCTCAGATGGGACAAAGCCATGGTGGTGGGTCCTGTCATTCACTTCTGCTCTTGAGTGGACCAGGTGCTGGCCTTGCAGTTAAATAAACAGTGAGGGGGGAGGGAACGATGGTGGTTACTTGAAATAAACTGAAGATGAATTTAAAGTAGGGGTGATGAATCTTTTTGGTGAAGATTGAATGTCTTGGCTCATGTAGAGACCAAGAAATAGCTTGCCTTCACTTGTGCTTTTCTATTTACTCATTACTATTTTTATACAAATTAAGTATAAAACAGGGCTTTTGTGCAGCACCAGCAATTAGTTTTTGTAGCTTTTTTTTTTGCTTGCATTTGTCTCCAAATCACTTCTGAATGTAATGGAAAGCATGATAAACAACGGAAGACATGGATGGTTTTATAATCCTCAGGGCAGTGATTTATCATGGAATTTCAAAGCTGCTGATAGGCAGTAATAGAGATACTGCAGTGCAAACCCTTGGTAAATGAAGAGAATGGGGTACAAGGTTATAAACTAAAGTACAATTAGCACAATATTGCCTGATTTCCTTTGCCCTGGCTCCTGCTCTGTTTCTGCACTAAGTGACAGCTGACTGGGCTGAAATCTGGTACTGATGCAGTGGGGGACTCAGGGTCCCACAGGTTTGCCTGTGAAGCTCAGCTTCAGCCAAAGGGTGCAGGCAAAGTCACAGCACATGAGGGCTTCAGAGTCCACCCTGGCAAAGAAATCTGTCCTTGATCTGTTGTTAGTCTGAAATACTGCAAGTACAGTAGTTCTGAAGAGGATTGTCAAAGCACCTGTTGCTTTAAAGAATGTATTGAACTCTAACTAAAGGCAGTAGAATTGACAGTGGATTCTAGTCTGCTAAAGGGTCTGTTAATTGTGGGCCTGTTTTATTTCCTATGTTGCTGAAATCAATTTCCTATTTTGTTCCCCCAGCTGACTGTTACAAGGGAGAACAGCCAAACACTAAAACTAAATGTAATTTAAACTATTCCTAGGTTTGTTAGGTCTTGGAGCCTGATGCCTGAAGACACCTAGGTAGTGTTTTATTCATGTTGTTTATTTAAGACTGTTTCTAGTCCTTTACCTTTCTCAAAAATGGCCATGAGAGGGTAATTTAAGTGACTCTGTACCACAAACACCTTTTAGAAATCTTAAGAGCAGGGAATGTCAAAACTCATGTTAGATTTCAAATGTCACCATAATAAATGGGTTAAATTTACTTCAGTCTGTGTCCAGCCTGTGTGTTATGTTAACTGGCTCTGGGAAGGGGTTTGGAAAGCCAAGTAGTTAAACCTTGAGCCAGAGAATGTTGTGTTCTCCAAACCTGAAACCTGATCATTCAAGTGTTAAATGAGGTGAAGAGTTGGACCTCCTCATCAAATTTCTTTTCTTACCAACTTGGATCTCCCTCACAGCTGCAGCCCAGCAAGTGGAGAGTACTCCTGTTTGTGGGTGCAAAGTGAGAAAAGTGACTGGAACTTCAGTTTCAAAATAAAACCTAAAAAGAGTGAGAGAAGCACCTGAGGGTGGGATTCAGAGCCAATACCAAACAGCCACTCAGCCTGCTGCTGTCCCAAACATGTTTCCAGGTAAGCAGCAGCTGGATGTGACCTTTCTCCACTCTAAACCTGAGAGCAGCAGCTCTGCAGACACAAGCAGGATTATCTGGGCAGCATCAGAAGGGTAGAACAAAGGCAGGAGGAGGAGAAGGAGGTCACCTCAGATGTTAGAACAGCAGGGTGATTTGTATGGCCAGACACAAGAGGATGAGCTGCCAGACCTGAGCTGCTCCCTAGAATTACCAGTTGAGCCTGAGGACACAGGTCTGGCAGATGTTCAATCCACAGAGGCTCCCAGCAGCTCAAGCATTAGAGTGAGGATTGGGCAAAGCCCATCTCCACCGAGCCCTGCTCCTGCCAATGCCACAGCAGCCAGGGCTGCTGGGGCTGAGCCAGGAGAGCCCTCTGAGCCACGGCACCTCCTCCCACCTGGCTGCTCAAACCTCAGCTCAACAAAGGCCACAGAAAAGGTGGCCAAGCCCTGCCCCAACCAAGGGTAGCTTGTTCCATGGGAACTTTCTATACAGCATAACCCTGTACTAGGAATGATGGTAAACCCCCAAGATCATGATAAGGAAATAGAGATAAACATGCAAATCTCATTATTATCATCAATATGGATACTGAACTAATTCTGGCTGAACTTGAATGAATGAATGTGGATGTATTTATTGTCTTTAAGTTAAGCACCTACTAGCAGAGCTATTTTAACACCAGATTCAGGCAGTGATGATTTAATTTTCCCTCTTAAACTTCCACAGCAGGCCTGACAATCTAATGAAGTGCCTGCTGTACTGCTCTAGGTTCTGAGCAGAGGCTGCTCAGCCACACTTGGCTGCAGAAATGCTGCAGGAAAATGGATCTCTGCTGAGCAGAGATCACACCACTCACGCACACTGGTGGGCTCATGTACTTCCACATGCATTCTCCATCTTCCCCCAAAACTGGGCAAGTATTTTCACCTCCAAGCAGTAACACAAGAACAGGCTCTTAAGAGAAAGCAGCTACAGGTCACTCAGTGCATTGATTAGCATGTTCCATTTCCTGGCCACTGCCCACACAACCTTCTTGGCTTTTGCCTTAATGAAACACTTAACTGGCATTGCTTCTGCTGTAGCAAAATTTCAACTGTTTGCTCAAAGTTACATTTCTAAGCTACAATATGTAATTAATATGTCATTATTACATACATATTACATGTGTAATATATAATTAAACATTCAGAGTCCCCTGAAAAAGACATTTAGAATAATGTCACAATATCCTCAGAGAGATCAGACATGTCCCACCCAGGCTCTAGTCAGCACCTCTGCTCTGCATGGTGTTTGCACAGCTCTGCACAGAAAAACCTCCACTGCAGTACAGGGAACTCTTTCAATCAACCACTTTCCTGTTAAGTGTGTGTGTGTGCTCCCAACAGCTCTGTTATCCAGCTGGGAGGTGACTCTACCTGGCTCTGTTCAGGAGCCAGCACCACATGCACAGTGCAAGATCATGTGCTTAAAGATTGATTCTAAATGTCAAATTCAATAAATTTCTAGGGATAAAGTTTGAATCAAACAGGACCTCTGTGAAAGGAAAAATCTTACCTTGGTGTGATGTCTCTATACCAGTAACTGCCCTGCCAGTCCTTGGCTGCCCCTCTCCTAGGGAATACCTGCACAATCCAACTAATAAATCCCAAGGCCAAGAGGTAGAATTACACTAAGGTCCCTTCCAACCCAAACCATTTATTATTCTGTAATAAAGCTCATCCAGTTCCAATCCCCTGCCATGGGCAGGGACACCTTACACTAGAACAGGATGCTCAGAGCCCCATCTAGCCTGGCCTAGAACACTTCCAGGGAAGGGGAGTCCACCACCTTTCTGCCTAGAGCTTATTTTGAATATTCAGTGTTTCTTAAAGTTACTGGTAAATCCTTCAAGCAGTTCTCCTCATCCTAAAATGATACTTACACTTCAGCTACAAGTTCTGAGCCAAGCTCTCCTGTTCTCAGCCCCATCCCATCTAAAGAGAATAAAAAATTACCTGTCACACAAAATTTAAATGTTTTTCTGGAAGACAGGCTGCACTACTAAACATCAGATTTACAACTCCTTCCCATTATGAACTTTAAGTAACTTTGCCAGAATCATGGAGAAGGCTGCAGATTTGCTAATCTTAAACTCTCTGCTCACAATGTTCCCAGGGGATGTGACTCTCATATTAACTCAATGCTCTCCTCCTTCTGCCTTCAGGACTCTTACAGAAAGCACAACTCCAGAAAAGGTGACAGAATTTAAAAGGTAGTAGCAAAAAACTCCTTCTCTCACTTTATACACCATGTAAGTCAGAGCTGGGAATGTGGGAGCACACCTGGGCACTGAATTACTGTGTGCTCAGAGAGAGCAGCTCAGCTGACAATTCCCACGGCAAAAGCTCTGAGCATTCTGTCCTGGCATTTTCAACATCAGGAAACCCAGCTTGGTTTCCCATGTGCATCTTACAACCTTTCCACACCCAGACAGCTCAGAAGCAACTGGCACAAGTCACTTGTTACCACAAAATACTTTCATGGTACAAAAGCAGCACTGCCCATGTGACGCTCTCCCCTCAACAGGACTCAAAGCTCACATCTGAAGGTCTGCTCACCTCAGAAATTCTTACATCCAACCACATTACAAGATTATCTTCACAGGATTCTGCTAAGGCATTGCCATTTCTTCAGCCATTGCATTACTCAAGTCTTCAAAGCACTCTGAAGCCCTTTGTTAAATTCAAGCTCCAAAATTGCACAATTTATCTAGTACACAAAACAACTTGAAAATATTTTAACTAAAGCCTTTTATTCTATACAACTGAAACATCATTTACCCTTCTGGCATTGCAGACTCTTCCATTAATCTTTCCTGTTACTGTGTTTCGGGATGGTTAGAAAGAAAAAACAGAAGGAGAGTTACAACCTTGGGCTGATTTCAAACAAAAAATTACTGTGAGCAACTCCAATGTATACAATAGGACAGGAAGACAACCAGGAAACAAAACATAACCCAAACAGTGCCTATTGGAACAGACAAAGACCCTTGCTAGTAATAAATACAAGTCAGGACAGATTACCAATAAAAGTTACAGTTCTGTTTAACCATTTAATTCACAAACAGCACTAAAAATGTGCAGTTAAAGCACAATTGTGTCAAACGAAGCATACACAGAAGTGGGGATAGAAAACTGAACCTGATTCTCAAAAGATGGGAAAAGACATGCTAGCTGAATTTTGAACCATGGTTTTGTCTAAGCAATGAACTTGTTTTGCTGGGTTTAAAGTGCAGAAGGGAATGACTATTTTGACTATATTTTGACTATTTTTTCAAATAAAACATGATGAAAAATACTTTACTTTTTGTCTGACCAATACAATCCCAGTAATATAATTTATTGGGACTTTTCTTAGGCCTCAACCTACATCTTGATCACAAGATACAGGAAGGGCTAGAGCATGTGTCTCCTGAAGAAACTCCAATAATATACTGCCCCTTGAAGGCACTTGTGCTTCTGCTTCAGACAAGAGTAATTTTTAAACCATTTCTCTACAAGGATTTCTAATTTGCTCTGGCTACAAATGGTTTTCTGGGATATCCCCACATTTTCCTCACAAAAAGCTGAAAGGCCCTTACCCTCCCTCCCCCCAATAAGTTAAACTTCTATAAAAGATTACCATGAGCCTAGGACAGTCACAGATTTTTAGAAATAGCAGTGAAAACAAGATCTGCATAAATCTCTAACAAAAGAACAATTGCATATAAAACCTCAGAAAAGAAGAATCAGTATTTTTATGCCATGAATATGAAATCTGCTGAGAAGTTTTTTAAGTTTAACATTAAACACATGAATTTATAATCAGAATGGTTTGAAGTTTTAACAAGATGTCAACATACTTTTGGAGCACAGTTACCAAAAATTAGACTGGTGTGTCTTTAGAACGCCTAGGACACAGTGCAGGAAAAAGTTATATATATTTAGAAAAAAAAATCTCTAAGTTGCTGCAAAGCACGTTCACTCTATTATGATGCACAGCATCACTGGACTCACATTGCTCTGATATCTTTCTAGTGTTCTTTTCTTGCATGTCAACAGCTCTCTAAAGCAATTAAAACAATTCTCATGTTAATCCTTGGTTTGCAATTCAATGGGCCCATTGATTCAAGTATTCAATAACTATTTTCTGGTGTCTTCTTTTCCAAATTTCTTTTAGTGGTAGAAATGCTTGAGTAACCTGTGAGAAATCATTGCTGGAACTTTATGAATGGAATGTACTAAAGATACCTTGTGTGCAGTTCTTAATTACATTGTGAGCAGTGACTAATATGGCCAAACCTGTCTGATACCGAGCATGAGCAGATGAGGGGATTATGTTCTGGAAAAAAACCAAAAGCAAAAAGGAGGAAGCAAAAGTCTGCACTGGGTTATCATCCACTCTCTGTACACCTCACACAACACAAACCACTCAGGGACCTCCCATCTCATTGACTGAGACTAGGACAGACTTAAACTAAAGTCATATAGATTTTTTTTTTTCCTCTATATTACAGGTCTATTAGTCACTTCCATTAAATGTTTACTTCCTGTCCATACTGAGGCATTAGAAGTCTCATCTACCTTAGGGGTTCAGGGCTGCTCTAG